TCCTCATCCCCAGCTCCATCCCCAGTCGCCAGAAAAAAAGTTTGAAAACTACTACACTAGTGGAACTAGAGGGGCTCATTGTTAAAACCATTCTCACCTCAGTTGCTGTAATGCTCTGCTTTCCCATCTATCCAAATCAGCATCATTCCCCTTACACTCCTTCACTTCCTACATCCCCAAATTGAATACAAGCTCCTCCCTCTTTCAAAAACAGATTGCATCTTTGTGCTCCAATCTGTCTTATGCTCCTCCCCAGCTGTCAGTTTCATCTCCTCTCTAAGCTTCCCAACATTGCTTATACTGCTCCTTATCCCTACGATACTCTCCTTCTATTTGACATCCCCACCCTCCCTGACACCAGCAAGCGCTGAACTTGTTCTTTATCTCATCCTAAATAGTAACCTCTTTGAGATAGGGAACATCTCACTGTATTGTGTAAAATGCTGCATAAATTGTGTGCGTTACAAAAGTTTAGAAAGCATTCATGATAAAGTAGGGCCCATCTAGTGTGAGAGAGAAACCTGGCCTGCTTCAGGAAGGGAAGTTAAGAGGCTGCCCCCAGTGGCTGCTAGCTTCCTGAGACTGTTCCAGCAGAGCATGCTGGCTTATCTCCCTACGTTTAGGGAACAGATTAAAAAAGGTGTGATATTATCTAATGGAACAGAGGCTGTGTCAGGAGCAGCTGTGTAAATATTGGCTGAAACTCTATTTAGGAGGTAGCCTTGGACTCTTCTTCCCCTCCAAAGGCCATTGAGCAATCTACCTCAAGAGAGTTATAGTCTCTGATCTAAAGAACCCTCCACTCCCCACCCTCTGTTTCTTTGATGTGGTACAAGCTTTACCTTCCTTACGAGGTGAAGGAAGAACGTAGCGGAACCTGCCTGGGAGCCTTCAGTATAGCAGAGGGAAGGTTACCTAGTATAAGGAGTGGGGGGAAGGATAGCTCAGTGGTTTGAGCATTGGCCTGCTAAATCCAGGGTTGTGAGCTCAATCCCTGAGCGGGCCACGTAGGGATCTGGGGCAAAATCAATACTTGGTCCTGCTAATGAAGACAGGGGGCTGGACTCTATGACCTCTCAGGGTCCCTTCCAGCTCTATGAGATAGATATAGCTCCATATATAATTAGGGCAGTATGCTTCCCCTCCCCTCAAACAGGAATGTTTTCTCTCTCTTCCCTTAAGTCTTCAATAAAAATATTGGTAAGATAGACTGAAGCAGGAGACGGAGATGAAGGTCTTGTTCAGCGATTGGTGCATTTGCTTTTGACAGAAGAGCAGCTCTCCCAGTGATGGCAGACTGAACAGTATTCTTTCATAAGAAATGCTGTTTTATAACTTTTTCAGCCTAAGTGTAAGGGAATCACTTACTTCAATACAACCACCAGCAGCCTTCAGTCACTTTTACACATGGACCATGCAGCTGACAGGCAAGGGCAGACATCTTAAGCAATACATGCTCTGTTAAAGTAAAATTATGTTTCTCTAATTCATTTGACCATTCCCTGTAGTTATTAGATCTCACTCAGCTGAGGTAGCATATTTTAAGAGCCTAATTAGATCCTGTTTACACCAGAGATAAAACAAAGTTAGCTAGAATCATCTTTAATAGTCCTTGCTACAGAAGTCACAGTAGAGACCAGGCTTACCCACATTATAAAGGGGTCACTAACACTATAACATCTCTAAACCCTCTGTTATACTGAAATCACAGCATACATTGTGCTTCACTAACAGTGTTAGTACTTCTCCAGTACAAGCTATTTTAACACAGCTTGAACTATAGTACAGGCACTATAAGACATACTGTGTTGTAAGAAGCAGGACACACACTAGACCTATTCAATTGAAATTGCTTCTATAAATAAAATGTGTATTTTGAGTAGTTTGGTTTTCTCTCATGATCCAGCCATACAAATCCAGGATTTGAAATAAGTGATTGTTTTAAAACAGAGGAGATGATATTGCAGAGGATGTATTTTTATGAAGTTAACCAACCATTTCATATTTCCCTTACAAACATGAAATAGTGCATAAAAGAGGAAAATGAAGTACTAAAATCAGCTAGTACTAGATCTTAAATGCGATTGTTTAAATGGTACTTTTTATTTAGTACACCAATGTATATAGCAGGACAAGACATTAGAATTTCCATTTCTAATGAAAACACTGAAGCCTTCAAGGGTGAGAGAAATTCTCCAACACTACCCAAGGCATTTTTCTTTGCGCCTGGCCAGACAAAATTCACATGAGCTTGTGCTGCTCTAAAAGATATCCATCTTCCTCGTCATTGCTTCTCTAATTTTAATGAGAATTACTTAAAGTTACAAGTGTGTTAAGCCAACTAGAACTGGGCCAAGATGCAATTTATACACCAGAACTATAAATTAAAACAGTAAGAATTACAGATGACCAGAAGGGAGACAGTCAGTCAACTTTAAGCAGCATATCTCCAACTAGATAAAGAAACCTTTAAGGCAGAGTACATCATTTCTTGAGGAAGATTTAAAACTTAAAAAAAGTTTCTTTGGACGCAGAGTGAGCCAAATGGCTTTCTGCTACACAGATACAGAACAGTGATATCAAAAAGGTAACAAAACACGGACAATAAGTATCTGTCGTGCCGAAGAACATGAGCACTCATACAGTCCAAAATATGTAACTTTCATAGTAATGAACAATACTTTTAATAAGATTAGAGAGTAGCGGCGTTGTGCTGAATTATGTATTGATAATAATGTTCATGTCCCCCACACAGATTTCTCCGCTTCCCCACAGAAAAATGGCTTCTGAGGGGGGAGTAAAGGGAAGCCCCCAAGAGCAGTCACGCCCCTCCCCAGCAGCACAGGCAGGTCGGCTTAGGCACCCGGAGCAGCCAATAGAGACGTAAATCACCACCAGCAGTAGGTGAAGGCATGGGCAGTCGTGTGTGTGAGACAGACACACACAGTCCCTCTCACTATTGTGGCATGCTGGGGCAGGGCTTCAGGGTATGTCTGAGAAGGTAGGCGTGATGCAGGCTGTCCCTTCAGGCAGAGCAAAATGTAGCAGCCTGCCTGCTTAGTGAATTGTTCCCATTGTCTTTGTGCATTTCCCCAGGGGTATAAAACAGGTGTAAAAATGTTAAGTCTCCTTTACATGGCCAGAATGGTGTAAAGGACAGTATGGCCTTATAAATGCTTATGGTGCTTTAGTCATTAGAACTGGTCTAAATTTTTGGACTGAAAAATGTATCAATGTGCTCCATGAACTGTTTGCTACGGACCTTTTTGGAGATGGTTAATAGCCAATATAAATTGTGAGTTTGATTCCCCGGCCCTCATTTGCTCTTCAGTTGCCTCTGATGTAACACTGAGCATATTTTATATATACATTTGCTGACTAATAGCTAGAAATAAAGGGTCAAGCCTAGCTATATTACTATTGGGCAAGGGGGGTTGGGGATTTCCTCCAATGTTCCCCACTCCCATTCTCCATCCATTGTATTGTAGTTTAAATAAATTATCTAATTGATTGAAACCAGCGTGATCATAGTGTGTTATTTTGACAAATAAAATATGCAGAATTTCAAAATATTGTGCACAGAATTTAATTTTTTGGCGCAGAACTCCCCCATTAGTAGTGTTTCCCTGAAATAGGGCATACATAAAAATGCCATGGATGCTTTCATTCATTAATGAAGTTTTAAATGCATTTTGGAAAAATACTTATGTAGCACATGCTAAAATCTTTCATACTGAGGCTTTTTATATTTTGAACAGAACAAAACATTGATTGTATTTTAATTTCCTACAGTGTGTTGTCTACATCAGATTCATTCAAAACTAAATAGTTTTGAGCACTTCTGACATTGTCTAACTAAAATAGAGCTTGGATTTATTGTTAGATTTTTTTTTCTGATGCTGCCTTGCCAAAACAATAAATGCAATAACCAGTTTTTATGAATGGGCAATTATTTGAAGTTTTACTTGTTTCTACAAATCAGGTGTATAACTATGTGGAAGAACACAATCTTTCCCTGTTGCCCTGGCTTAGGGCCGGCATTTTTTCCACTTAAAGCAAGATTACCTTGGCACATCCAAGAATCACAAACTTCAAGAAAAAATAATTGTTAATGAACTGATGTCATGAACCACCTCTCCTCATTTCCAAATTTGAGGCTTACCTAACCCTCCCATTTGTGATCAAATCATCTCTGTGGCACCTGTATAAATTATTTATATGGAAAGGTAATAGTACAGGAGTGGCCAATCTTACTGACCCTCTGAGCTACATAAAATAATCTTCAGAAGTTTGAGAGTCTCAAGACACGCACAACCTGCCCTGCGGGCTGGCACCTGCCAGGGTGCGGGGCTTCTGCCACAATGCACCCCTGCAAGGCTAAAGCCATTAGACTCACCCCTCCTCCCCCCGCAGGGCAGAAGCCCCTAGTCCCACCACCCCTGTCACAGGGCAGAACCCCCGAGGCACCACCCCCACCCCCCGCCCAGTCTGGTAGGGGGAGAATGGGGAGGTGCGTGCAGGGCTCTACAAGCCGCACTTTAACTGTGAAAGAGCCACATGCAGCTCACGAGCCACAGTTTGGACACACCTATAATAGTATATAGCTGTGTCATTTGATTTGGCACATGGATGCAAGGGAGGGAGCTAGCACCACGTGACCAACCACTTCCAGCAAATGCTTGTCAGTTCACTGGATTGGCAGAGATATCCCATGTTGTAGTGTATGTCAGGAGGCCCTTTCTCCATGTCCCACATAATTAAAGGGTAGAATTATGGAATTTAAAAATGCCAGTTTCTATGACGCAGTATCTTGTACTTTCCAGGGCTGGAGTAAGTGCTGTCAGTGGTGACTGTCAAAACATGACTAAGTGTTTGTACCTGTGGCAGAAGGAGGAAAGACCTTTTGTGGATATGAAAACTACTTCCCAGTCACAAGAACTGTGACTATCTCAATCCCATTTTCATGTGATTAATAGAGAACAAATAATAAAGACAACAGCTTTCTTAAAAGTTAACTTATATTCAAAATATCTTTGTATAAACAACTAATACTACAGAGTAGTATCTTAATACAAAACAGTTCAATATTAACTGTTCTTTAAACTGTTAAACTTTATTATAAATTAAAATTTCTTTACAAAAAAATTGCACATAATAATTGACCACTCTTATTTCTGATGCACTGGCATTTGCAATAGTTTCTTTAATCTTCAAGTTTAATAGTCTCTGCCATGAGTCCAGAATGCAGAAAGGGCAGTAAACAACCCTCTTAGAGCCTTCAAGTGCTAGAAGCATACTTGTGGCCCTGGCAGTTACGCTTTCCTTAAGAGCGGCTGCTTTTGTTTTAAATCCTGTAATGAAAAAAAATCTCAAAAAGGTTTAAAAAAGGAAAAAACCAAGTGGACTGCTTGCTTTTTACTGTAAACACAGTCCAGTACTTAACCCCAAACACAGATCTCTCAGGCATCAGCGAGAGTGTCAAGTGAATCAGGAACAGCACAAGATAAAGAAAAAGGAAAATAAAAGGAAAACATAAAAAAAATAATGTCTGTCATTTTGATTAACTATACTTACGTACATGATGTTATGAGATTCTGGCAGGGCCCAGAAGCAGGCCAAACAGGGAGTTCAATTATCCAGAGAGAGGAGGGTCATGTTAATTGTTTCCAGGTTCAAGGAAAGCAGATTGGAGACTTGATATGCTCAGCAATGCTCATCTGCCTGACACAGAGCTTAGGCATGGATCAGCCTGAAGAATCATTCAAATGATTTTGGCATTTAATAGGACTTAGGACTGACTGCACCCAGCGTTCAGTGATTCTTGCTTTCTGTTCTGTAAGTGTTTAAATTTAAAAGCTCATCTAGGCTGACTCCAACCTCTTGGCACTTGGAAACTAGTTTTCTCAGGTTATCAGTTTTACCTCCTCCTGATGCTTCAAACAAGAGTTGCTGTAAGAGATGGGGAAGCAGATATAAGATTTAACCAGAGCTTGAGCATCACCACATCTATGGATATGGGATATGCAGAAAATTTATATGAAACCTCAAAGTGAAACATAAGGAGAAAACATTACATCTTTCCACAGTGTTGCACATAGAGGTAACTTCTGAAAGGCTCTCTGATATAAATGATGGACCTGTAAAATAAAAAATAAATACCAAGATAATGCTACTCAGTGTATTCAGAAAATAATACAAACATTTAAAGCACATAGAACTGTCTCAATAAGATTTCTGTGTACAAAAAACAATCTTATAAGAAAATGTAGGTTGCAAACTCAAGCAGTCAGAAGTTAGGAAATGCCAGATTTAAGCCTGCCTGTGCTTTAATTCTGATCCTTCAGTGCACATTAGTATGATTAATTACATGATTAAATGCTATTTTTTCCATAAAACCCCTGCCTCTGTCATTTCACAGGAGACATAATGCTCAGGGAATGAAGCAGATGTTCAATATCTTTTTCTCCTCATCATTCAAAGTGTGGCCCCATGTCTTGCTTACTACATACCCTCCAAATCCAGCACTGCATACAGAATTAACTGCCTCATGGGCTTTTGTGTATGACATTCATCATTATATTATCTTGGTCTCAAACATTAATGCATTTACTTTCACAACTCCCCTGTGACAAAGAACATTATTATTCCCATTTTATAGATAGGAAATGGAGGAACAGGGAGATTAAGGCAAAGTTTATGAAAGTCCCCACCAATTTGGGGTGTCTGAGTGACTGAGCCTCAAACTGAAACACCTAATCCATTTCTTGAGATTATGTTGCACTTTTAGAGCAGGCTATGTTCAAATCACTGTACAGACATCAATTCTCAGAACAACCCTGGGAGGCAGATGGATAAGCATTATTCCCATTTCACGGGAAGGGATTCTTTATCTAAGTGCCATGTCAGAGGGAATCAGTGGCAGAACCAGAATCAGAATTCAGGACCTCCCAATTCCCAACCCTGTGCTCATTCCTCTAGTCTAGACTCTCCTGTTTTACTGCCAGAGGTACTGAGCAGTCACAGGTCTCAATGACTTCAGTTGCAGTTACAAGTCCTCAGCATTTCTGAAATTCAGGAGCCAGATGTCTTAAGCTGAGCACCCAGAAAGCAACAAATAATTAGTGGTTTATGAGATGTTGGGCAAATCAGAAATTTGTTGCAGAAGCAAAGGTGGGACAAAGCATTCAACTGTCTTAACTCCAAGCCTATCCTTGCTCTTCCTGCAGAACCCTGCCTCCTTTTCTACATTTTTTGAAGTTCTAGTGCGAATGAGGCAGGAGTCCTACTGTCTTATTTCACTGTGCAACCTTGATTCACGCCCTGAGAACTGTCCATCTTGTAAACTGAATGAGACAAGGTCTTGTGGAACAAAGATAGGCTGTGACCATGCCATTAAAGACTGCATCATAATGCATGCAAGGAGGCAGGAATTAAAGTTGCCTGAGCAACCCTAAAAGTTAGGCAATACCAGAATTAAGTGCTTGACTTTACAGCCTGAATGACTATTTAACATAGGCTTTTCCTAAATATTTCCCAGTATTTTTTTTTAAAAGAGGCAAAAACAAATTCTATTATGTGCAATTAACAATCCCTATGCCATACATTCTGAACCCCAAACCCTTGGCAAGGCTGCATAAACTCAACTTCAGTGAAAGAAATACCAACATGATAGCTGGAAGTAGGAAACTGCTGTTATCCTCAGAGGACAAGCTCAGGATTATGACAAAACAGAATGAAACCTTGGGTTTACATATGCAGAAGCAGTTCCATTTTACAGACAGCATACCCAAGGAGAAATATTTGTCTTTCAGAAAGAGTGCCAATCTTGCTAAGCGGCTGCGACTCAGTCTGCAGTATTAGAGATCTGAGTTCTATTCCCAGTTTGTGTAACCTGTGAGGTCTTGCACAATAAAAAGTTCTGAGGAGTACAAAATTAGCACCAGTTAGAAGAAACATAAGTCTAGAACTCATGGCTTCCTGGTCCTCCAACACAGTGCATCTTTCCATGATCAAACAGTGTTTTGTTGGGGGCAACAGCAACTAGAGCAGGATCAATTCTGCCTGTGTCCCATCCGGAAGTTCCATCCTCTTTGAGAGCTGCTGTAATGAAATGCTAGGGAGGGTGCATGAGCAGTGTGATTGGACTATTAAAAAGTATTTTTGGCCAACCATATAGCAAGCCTGCACAAGTTGATGTCATTTCTCAGTATGTTTGGATGTAATGTGATAATTTTTTGATCCGATGTGGTATTTACTTCCAAATTTCAGGGAATATTGAAAATCAAAAAAACGGGGAAGTGCAGGGGGACCACAGACCTCCTGGCCTTTGGTTAGCAGACTCAGAAACTTTAAACAGGTCTATATGGGTATGTCTACATTGCAATTAGATACCTGTAGCTGGCCCATGCCAGCTGACTCTGGCTCGCAGGGCGCAGGCTAAGGGGCTGTTTTATTGCAGTGTAGACATTTGGGCTCGCTCTGGAACCCTCCCATCTTCCAGGGTCCTAGAGCCCAGGCTCCATCCCAAACCTGAACATCTACATTGCAATTAAACAGCCCCTTAGCCCAAGCCCCAGTCAGCTGGCACTGGCTAGCTGTGGGTTTTTAATTATAGTGTAGATATACCCTGTCTATAGGCCAAAGAACCAGTTGATGGCATAACAATACACACCCATCTCAGATCTGGCCATCCTCCCAAGAGTATAATATGTTGATAAAATGAGCTGCCAAAAATATTTCTTGTATTTGAAATATCTGTTTCTGGTTTATGTCCAGAACATTTCAAGTACCCCAAAATCTTAATTTTATAAAATGAACTATGCTCTGGGTGCAACCAGGTACACTGATAGTTTCATAGAATTTTCTTTGTTAAAACGATCAGTTGCAATGTTGACTTACCTCTCTCTGTCCCTTTAGAAAGCACTCGGCAGCAATGGCTCTGAGAAAAAGAAATACATAAAAATAATTTATCCATGCATGGAATTAAATGCCATTACTGGCAGAATACTGATTGTGGGATGGGATTACAAACGCCCTGAAAGTAACAGACTAACTTCCAATGATGATAATCTATAGCGAAAGGAAAAAAAAAAAAAAAAAAAAGTAGCCATTTTTTAAAGCAACCTTACATGAGCAAGACATTTCAGTGGTTCCCCATTATGAACAAACACTGAAGAAAATGATCAGTTGAGCATCACTGGATAATGGAGATTATTGCTATTGTGATATACAAAAGGGAGGGTAGAGAGGAGGAGGAGACAGAAGTCAATAATTTAATAATTAAAACACATTTTCTATATTTATCCAAACAATAATTGCCTATATATTTTTTCTACATGGAAACTAAATGACTCATTTTACATTAAAACTGTCAGTACCTCTGCTTGTCTCAACCAAATGTTGGAATTCTAAAAATAATGAAAAAAAGCCTTCCAGTATAAATCCAATTTGAAGGACATTTCAGATTTACCTTTGTGATGCAAACCTTATAAACAAAAGTAATATCTATGAAAACAGGTTTATGATTGTTGCATTACATTTTCCAGATGGCCAGGCATGTTGGGATATTATATGTAAACATCTTGGCTTGCAGTTTCAGTATCTGAACATTGTTCTCTTCCCAAAGTTGTTGAAGCAGCCTGTAAAGGACATTCAAGGGAAATAAGTACAGCTCTGATCATAAGGAATAAAAAAATATATTAAAAGATACAACCACATTGATCTAAGGTATGATGCACTTATGTGCATAGTGACACCACCAATTTTTAGGTCAGCTGAAAAAAAGTTATTGAAGGCAATCGTTTAGAGAATCACAACAAAGTGTGTGGTCAGAGATACATAAAGCATGCTCTTGGTGCACTATGAGGTCAGAGGTCAAAATTCTAGTCTTCAGCATGTGTGAGGAGGGTATACATCTCTAAGAAGAGTGGTATGCTAAAGAGCTCCAAATGGCACTACAGTTTTATATGTTGACATGTCTAGGAACTAACAGCATGAAATCAGATCTCTCTATATCCAATCTGTAAATACAGATATTCCTAGCAGAGGATACAAGTTCTACATAGGTAGCAAACATTTCTAGTAAGTGCATCCTAACAGTACCATTATAAACAGGTTTTGGTGAGGAATTTATTTCTTGGCTGAAAAAAATAAAATAAAATAAATACAGCCATTTAATCTTGTGCGTCATTTAAAAAAATATTAAAAGATTTCAGGCCACTGATCCATAACAAGGAAAAGGGAGAGCTCTGCGATTTCTCAGTCTATAAAATAAGAAGCTGACCATTTGAGCTATAGATGTACATGACAAATAATAATGTCTTTTTTAGAGCTATGCCCAGTCTGAGTAAATATGCATTTTAAAACATTTCATAAATATGAATCATTCCCATCTGTTGCATCAACTGAAAATTCTTATAAACAAAAAGAAGAAATTAAAGACAACTTCTTAATTTGTCTTTATTTAAAAAAAAAAAGGCTGAACAAATTTTAAGTTAAGGTTCAAACTAGCCCTACCACACTAACATATCTACATATTCTTTGTCTTCTGTTGAACATTTTGAATAGACAGTGATTGTATGTCTTAAAAAAAAAAAATTAACTCTTCCCTACTGTTTCTCTACTCACCCCAAATCAAAAGAGTCTGGAGCTTCTAGCCTTCTGACCACACACCCCAGATAGCACTATGAAAGTTACCAATAATTCTTGCAAGTCACCTTTTAACCCTTCTGTAGATGGAACAGAATTCTGTCAGGCATTGGGAAACAACTGGTAAGATGCCAAAATGCCAGGGTGTTCTTCGGCAGGATGCAGCAAAGGAGTACTTGCAGTTTATTAACTTGTCCCCTTTTCAAACTCCTACATTTACTGGTCACCACAACACTTGTCTTTATTCTCTCTCTTCTATTATATTAAAAGATGTTCATACCAAGGATTTATTTTAGAGGAGTTTTACTTGTATTCTAGCCGATACATGGATATACTGAACCTGAACCTCTGCTTTTGCTAGACTCTTATACAAAGAACTTTTTCCAAGTTTTTTTTTTTTTTTTTTTTGTGGGGGGGGGGGGGGGGTTTTTTTTTTTTTTTTTTTTTTTTTTGTGGGGGGGGGGGGTTTTTTTTTTTTTTTTTTTTTTTTTTTTTTGTGGGGGGTTTGGGGGGGTTAAAAATACATTGAATTCCCAACTGCAACCATGTGAACTAGTCTTAAGATATATAGAACTGGTCAGCAATATACACCCTTAAGTTTATTTTCCTACCTTAGTGCAAGTCCAGGATTGGTAGGCATAGAAGAGCAAAACCGTTCCAAGGTTTTGGAATGTTGAGACTTTGGAACACAGCTCAAATAAAAGAAAATTACCTGTAAAATTCAAAGATAAAAGTGAATCCAATTTAAAAGGATATGAATTCTAGTTGCCTGTAATTTTGATGAGAAATATAATGATTGGAACATGAATCTTAATCTTAACAGTAATTATTTCAGAGATACAATTACTATATTTTGCCTAGAAGTTTAAAAATTAAAACTGAACAAAATTTCAAGTCCATTAGAGTAAAGCTTCCTCCAGCAAGAAATTTGGTTCTCAGATTAGCTAAGTCACAATTACTATTGTAAAAAATTAATAAAACTCAAATAGCTGATGCTCAAGATGAGGATTCTTTCAGCTTAAACTTCATGGGTAAAATTTTCAAAAGCAGCTACATTACTCTGGCACTTTTGAAATTTTTACCATATGTATATAATACTTTAATTGGGAAAGAAGATAAAGACAAACACACCCATCTAGCAGGATTTCCATTCAAATTTAGCATCTTCTGTCATAACTGTATAAATACAATTTTGAACAATTTTCTCAATGTCCTTCACAGCAACAGCACAGGGTGCTCTACAATTAAACAATAAGGCCATATACTTAGCTGGTGTAATTAGTCATAGTCCTGTTGAAGTCAGTGAACTATACCAATTTACACTAACCAAGTAAACATATGAAATCTCTTACTGCACGGGGAAGGAGATGGCATGGAATTGTTTAATTACTAGATAGTAAGTAATACATTAGTATATAGTGTTATTCAGCCAAAAATTCCTTATACTTTCACTTCATAGACACGCATGCCTTAATGCAGTACACCAGGGGTGGTAACCCATGGCTCCAGAGCCACATGAGGCTCTTCAGAAGTTAATATGCGGCTCCTTGTATAGGCACCGACTCTGGGACTGGAGCTACAGATGCCAACTTTCCAATGTGCTGGGGGGTGCTCACTGCTCAACCCCTGGCTCTGCCAGAAGCCCTGCCCCCACTCCACCCCTTCCCGCCCTCTCCCCTGCCGTGCCTTCGCTCCTCCCCACTCTTCCCCAGAGCCTCCTACACGCCACAAAACAGCTGATCGGGAGGTGTGGGGAGGTGCTGATCGGTGGGGCTGACAGTGGGAGGGAGACGCTGGGAGCGGGGGGTGGGGGGAGAGAAAAGAGAGCTGATGGGGGGCTACTGACATATTACTGTGGCTCTTTGGCAATGTACATTGGTAAATTCTGGCTCCTTCTCAGGCTCAGGTTGGCCACCCCTGCAGTACACCATCAAATCACTTGTTCTGTCCTGAAACAGTTCTGAAGGAAGCATTTCAGATAGTTATTTAGGTGGAATTGCTCTCTGAGTGCTCCTGGTTCTTCTATCTTGCTGATCATTCCTTAAGCATATTTCAGGGACTCTTACTCTCGCCTTTTTTGTTGCTATGCCTTGAGATTTTGCGCTGGCTCCTCCTTTTTCACTTGGACCTTATCCACTCCCATAAATTTTAACTACCACCTCTACGTATATAATTCCCAGAAACTACCTCTTCACACTCATTTATCTCCAACAATCTCTGACATCCCATCTTGGATGTCTTGTTGCCACTCCACACACCCTCCAAAATGGTCTATACCTCCTAATTTTGCTGAACCACCCCCTTAAAAAAATTAAGTTACAACTCCAGTACCCTTCCCATATCCCACTATCACAGCCACCCTCTTTGTAGACTTTTTCCACTGTACACCATGAAGTCTCTCCTTCCTCTCATGACCAAAACAGAAACAAAATACACCCTCTTTTCCTCTCTGCAAACACACACATCCACTCTAATCAAATCTTGCCTTAACTACTATAACTTTCTCTTTAGTCTTATCCTCTTATCTCCCCAATGTATTTAAAAATTTCTTTGCTGATGTGATATTGCTGTCTTGTTGGTGTAGAGCAACTTCTTCCTTGAATCTCTTCACTTTTTGTGTCTCATGGCATTTAATTCCAGCTCAACCTCACCTTTAAGAACGCATATAATCTTGTTATCAACAATATTTCTGTTCTAATTTCTTCCTTCTCCTACCACTCTTCCAAACATTTTTTTCCATTTATCTTTATGCCCTCTATGCTCAGAACAGTCTTCCTTGTTCACTGCTTATTCACTGTCCTTCGTAAATTCACATTTTTTAAGAAACTGGGAAATGCTAAGAGAAAATATAAGCTTGGGGTGCTCTAATGCAATAAATTACTTAAGAACATTTGCTAACAGGTCATTAGCAATACACATTGAACATACAATTGGTTACTGAAAATTCTTACCCTATTATGAAACTCATAATTGGTCCAGTAATCAGCAGTGCTAAAAGGAATAGGGTATCGGGTGGGGACTGTAACTAGACATCTGTTCACTAGATCAGTAAAAAGCTTGAATTCTTGAACTTTATTGTTGGATCCAACAACTTTGCTATTGAGAAAAACAAGGTAACTGCAAAACAAACAAACAAACAAAAGAAAACCAAATTGACACTTCCAAAGGCCTTAATTTTACAACTGTGAAATTAGGTAGCTTTCCCCCCTTCATTTAAACTTACTCCATCCAAATGTTCTGCACTGTTTCCTGTTGCATCACTGCTCCTAGAGCTGCTTCATAAGCATCCAATGCTTCACCAACACTTGCATGAAGAGACTGACATAAACTGTTTGTTTTAAAAGTTAAAAACAACATTATGCCTTAGTGGGTTTGCTCTTATCTTCTTTATTTAATATACAAGATAAGGACAATGCAGAGTTTAACATTTCACAAAGGCAGAAGTGAAATCATTAATGCTGCTAAAATAAGCCCAATTTCAATTTTATCAGTCATAATTTATAAAATGACTAATCTTACAGCAGTTAATGAATAATAGTTTGTAAACTAAGTAGGTATTTATAATGCATTTAAATAAAGATTAAAAGTTTCTCTTACCTGTACATTTCTACTCTTGAAAAGTACCTTTCTTTCTGTGTTCTCTGACTGCTGCAGACTGGAGACAGGTGACCAGAGCTTCCCTCTGGAAAGCTCCAGAACAATAAAATTCCAAAAGGTATAATTAAATGTACACTTGAGAATATCAGACTGATTGCTAGTTAAACACTAAAGGTTCAGAAACAAAACTGACGGGGAAATGGTAAACAGCAAATATATTGACACCCTCCCCCAAGAATTGCAAGAAAAAAAAATAATGACAAACAATGGCTCAATAAACATTTAATATTGTTTTTCTGCTCCCGGAAGAAGGGGAGTATTAGACTGATGGATGGAACTTTTCCAAGAATAGAGATTAACAGATCAGACATTTCTGCCAGACACTCATCCACCAATTTATACTTAAGGGTTTAGCTAGGAGTTTGCAAAGGAGAAGTCTTTGGCTAAGTAGGTTATAAGAAAAAAAAAAATGCATCCAGAAACTGAAAAAAAGAGTATAGAAATGAAATATAGCTAGATAGCTAAATGAGCCCTCTGCCATAGGATGGAGACTGATGATGTCAAAGGCAGCACAGTGGATAACCAAAGGCCATGTGTATAGTACTTGGAGAAGGTGTGAACAAAGGCCCAAGTCACTAGTCACAAACGTCACATGCTCTTTCCAAGTAAATGTTGTTGCTCTTTGAGCCTTTCAGGTTTTGGTATTTCCACTTTGTGTGATTGTATAAGACAGCAATGAACCTGGCAAGATGAACTTTGAAATATTTGTCCTTTGCACCTGACAAGGAAAGAGAGACACCTGCTGACTTCCTGAGTCCATCCATCCTTTTGAAGATTTGTTTCACTGCTCAGCAGGGCATATCTAAAGATGCTGTACTGCTCAACTTTATTAAAAAGGCTGATAAAGCTCAATGATTCTCCTTGCTGAAAGTATTATTCTCTGAAACATCGATCATGGATAGGAAATAAGATCTAGACTCATATGAATGGATAGTCTGTGACTACATGATGTACAAGGTTTCTAAAATGGGTGTTTCCTAATCTTGGCAGGCATGGATTGTTTTTATGATTCAAGAAGCTAAAAACGTACATGTGGAATGCAAGACTAAGCTCACTGTCCAGACAGCAAGTTATCCATAGGTGCTTGATGAATCGTCAGTATACTTATTCCTAGTGCCAAAGGGGCTGTGTTGTCCTGAATAAACTTCAGGATATATTGAATCCTGGTGCATATTAGTTGTAACCTCACACACTGTTCTTTTTTGCATGTTATTTATTATTTGTATCGTACAATGAGGCCTTTACTAGTTTCTGAGAGAGATGCAAAGTTCCTTCTCCAAACAGATTACCATCTAATCTGAAACAATGCAACAAATGCAGCTAGGTAAAACAGCAGAAGAATGTTTTGAGAGGAGGGTTTTTATCTTTGCTGGCTTCAAAGAAACCTTCCACCAAATAAGTAAGCATTCATTTGGAGAGTTATTCCTGGCTCTGCCTCTCTATTCAAAAAGCCATGCAGTCAATCATGGAGATGGCATAAAACCAGACCATGAAGTAGGCTTCTTACATGACAGCACAAGAGAATATCCCAATAACATCGCCTATACTAAAAGAAGGGTCCTCTTTGGCTGTTTGGGTGTTATCATGACAACTAGTATTGTCTCCTGGCAAATCTTTAATATCCTTGCTTTCAGACGGAACAGTAGAAAAAACAAAATAGACCAAAAGTGCATGACTGGAATCTGTACACCTTTACACATCGCTTTCTTCTTGAGGAAAACCATGACCGTGGCATTTTCCCTTGTTGAGAAGAGTTCCGTCTCTGGAAGTCCCAACTTTTAGAACATGCATGTCCTTACTGTAGGAAGACTGGACCATCAAGGGTGGATAAAAAGAATACTGAAGAACTAAGCAAAGCCAAAATAGAGAAATGGGAAAAACCTAGAACGAGAAGTAGAGATAGATAAAAGAGAGAAATGAAGAAAAGTTTAAGAGAAAAAAAAAAAGGCAAGCCACTGGCAATTTTGGTAAAGATAAGCCACAGTCACTGTCCTGGCTCAGCAAGGACAGAACCTCTGGAACTCCTGCCAAGCGTGAGTCTTTGATGACATCCTCATTTACAGCTCCATAAATCCATCTCTGTTCTGCAGCAGCCAGGGAAGCATCTAGAAGGACTGGTGGATTAGTCATTCAAAGAATCCAATGTAATACACACTTAAATATGTAAAATGTACTCAAACAAATTAGAAAATCCACTGTTTACTCAGACCCAGTGTTCTTGTCTCAGAGGCTATAAAAATTCTCACCAGTAGATTTGCCACAAAAATGGGACTTGCTGGTTTAAAATATCATCTGTAAGATGTCCTTTATACAAAGGTGATGTAAATTCAATCGGCATTGGAAAATTCAAGAGATACCTAAAATAAAAATATGCACATACTTGAACATGAACTGCTTCACTATATATAGAAATAATACTGGCCAGACAAATATTTACTGATATACTTTAGAAATGCAATTAACATCTCACATTCAAAATAGATAAGGTGTACCTAGCACCAGCTTTCTAAAAATATTACTTAGCTACTTAGATTTGATAAGCCTATTTTAAAAATCATCCTTTTTTCTTTTTATTCTGCACCAAGAAAGATACTAGACTATATAAAAACTGCAAACAATGAGCTTCTTTATATCTGTTCTTGATGCAGAAATACGTTTCCTTTTTCACATTATATGTACATCAACCCTTTACAACTGAAAATTATCTACCTTTGATCAGCTTGTGGAAAAAATAAAAATTGCATTACCACCATTAAGCTGACAGTATATAAAAAAAAAGTGAAATTCAAGTTTATTTGATTTGAATGGAGCTAGTCTTGTGCTTAAAGTTACACGCATAACTGGATTAGGGCTTTATGCAGGTACCTAAATATAGATTTTGGAGTGTAATTTTAGGCACGCCACTTTAAAAATTTTGGCCAAAATATTCAACATATTTCTATTCCTCATCCCAAAAAGCAAGGAAATGAAAACACCAGCAGATGTTAAAATAAACTAAGACCAATTTAACTGTAAAGTGCCTTGCACTGCTCAGAATAAATCAACAGAAATGACATGGTCAAATAAGGAGAGTGCAAACCTTAGAACAGTGCACAATCTAATGGATTGCAAAACGTAGACATAATGCAAGTTAAAAATGGAGTTTTAACAACTCTCGATTGCCTTACTTTTGTGGGAAAGAGTCCTGCTGTTAGTTTTGCAATTTTAATAAAATCAGATACTTTACAATTTATTATATTATGACACCATAATTATACCAGTATGAACTAAAGAACGCCTTCTCCAATCCTACCGTAACAGATCCATGGGACTGTGTTCCTGACATACATTCTCAAAGAAAGCTGCGACAAATTCTTGCAACAATGGAGGAATACTGTCTGCCCTTTTCTGTTTTAAAAGTAAATTAGACATTACGTAAGACTTCTCTCAACCTACAGCACACAAGTTAAAAAATACATTAAACTATTTCTTAAAGGAGTACTTTCCCTTGAATCTTTCAAGGAGTAATATAATTAAATTATATCAAAGGGCGGGTAGCAGGAAGCGAGGAGATAATGCACTAATGTGTTTACATTGTGACATCCTCTACTCTTCTTGCACAAGGATGCAGTTTGGACACAAGACTGGGTGTCAGTTACTCAAGTTCTGAACCCAATTCTCCCATCAATTCTTCCTATTGCCTTGCACAAGTTACTCAGTTTCCCGGCTCCTATTTCCCTAACAATAAAATGAGGATGACACATCACAGGTATTTTGCAAATGTTAGTTACATTTTGTTAAGTGCTTTGAAGATTGAAAGTACTACAAGAGTGCCAAGTATTATTGCTAATTACACATTGCAAGGTACAAATATACTCATTTTACAGAATACACAAGCCACAAAACTAATGAGGGTGTTTTTTACCTGGGAGATGAGGAATTTGCACATATGATAAAAAACCTGTGCATTTTGAGGATTTTTCTCAAATGCTGTAAGCCACACAGCACAGGCTTTGTCATTCTGTTCCATCCGCAAGTATAAAGTAACCAGCGCTTCCAGCAACTGACAGTTGATAGGGCATAACTCCAGCAATGAGCTACACAGTTCTATAGCAGCCTCCCACCTTAAATAAAATAGTTAAAAGTTTAAAAAAAGGAAGTGCTGAACTGAACATCCTTATACAAGTGTTCTGTCTGGTAACCTGTTCTTACCTTTCCAGTAGCTGCTGCAAAGCAATCATGTTTCTGTAAAGTGGAAGGCAGATAGCTATTCTTTCATCAGCTCCAAGATTTTCATCAGTACATGTTTGTACTGCATCTAAAAAGACAAAAAAAGTTAAAAATCAAGCCTGTAAATATAAGCTTAAACACAGATTTAAATAAGCTAAATTTTACACAAATCTATACAACACATATTTAAGTTGATTTTTACCTATGAATTAGGGAAAGGAAACATGTAACCTTCGGAAAAGTTGTTTTCAGATAGTTAACAACATGTAATTCAAGAATGAAGACTTTCTTACCTAATAATTTTCTGGTAATTTTCTCACCTGTGGAATTCAGATGGGCTGCCATGTTCTTAGAGGAGGCTCCAGGATTAAGTCCCTCCCTTCACTTCAGGGTACCAGAAATTCAGTAGCAGCACAAGCAAGTGGTTCAATCTCTCCCAAACACTTTGTTTTATAACTTTTTTCTTTAATTAGTTTTTATGCAACAGGGACTTCATTTCAACTTTTAGCTGGCCTCCCCCCCCTCCTGAGCTGAAGAATCACTGGAGCATTGAGGCTCGAATCCCTTGGTGTAGCACCTCTCTAGTGGGCTCCCTCCCCTCACCACAACTGCAGAGAAGACCTTCAAGCACCAAGTCAAGTCCAAGACATGCTATAGCTAGCCTTGGTAGAATTTGACTTTTATTTAAAAAAATAAATTTTGACTGGAAAAAAAAAATCAACGTTTATTTTTAAGGATTTTTTATTTAAATTTACACAGTTGTGGGAAGTTATGGGGAGGGGTCAGAATTATTTAATGACAGTAGATGTTGAGATTCAAAAAGTTAAAGCTTTATAACCGTTAAACAAAAACTGTCATCACATCATCAAAATATTTAATAAAAAAAAAAAAAAAATCCTTAAATCCAACTCCAATAAGTTCTCAAGCAGCATTTTCTTTGCCCCATAAATTTTGTTCTTCGTCAATGGAAACATTTTTGTATTGCTGTGTATACAGTGAAATCAAGTTTACAGATATTTACCAATAAAAAGCTAATCCTTCCAAGCCTAGTGATCGGCAGCTTTTCCAGAACCTCGAAGGGTGAGCTATGCACCCTGGTGCAAGCCACCAACCCTGGATCTATTAATCCAGTTGGATTCAAGCTGGGGCTTCACATCCCACTGCCCTGCCTGAAGCCATGACTTCACCATAGGAGGCTTAACTGGGAGCATCAGGATTCCCAAAGACAGGAGAATTTTTTTTTACAGGTTGCTAGGAGTAAGTCTTGCCAACTCCAGAGGATGTGTCCCCCAAAAAGATAAAAGCTAGTGTGTCTCCTTCATACGTCAATAATTTGTACCACTAACGAGCAAGCGCTTTAATCAGAGTTTAAACCTTTTCCTTCCCATCCTGAGTTCCACAGGTGAGAGGCATTGCCCATTTGAATGAGGAGAGCAGCAGTGCGTCTGCAAAGTTATGTACTAAACTCGCTTTTACTAAAAAAAAAAAAAAAAAAAAAAAAAAAAAAAAAAAAAAAAAAAAA